TCTTCATGAATGACTTTTCAGTGTTTGGTTCATCGTTTGAAAATTGCCTCTCAAATTTAGGAATGGTCCTGCAACGATGTGAGGAAACGAATTTGGTACTAAACTGGGAAAAGTGATATTTCATGGTATAGGAAGGAATAGCACTTGGGTAAAGGATTTCAGCAAATGGTATCGAGATGGATAAAACAAAGATTCAGGTGATAGAGAATCTACCTTCACCAACTTCAGTTAAGGAAGTACGTAGTTTCCTCGATCATACAGGGTTCGACAGGAGGTTTATTAATTATTTTTCCAAAATCACAAAGCCATTTTGTAACTTGAAAATGACACACCATTCAACTTTTTTGAAAAGTGTCTGACAGCTTTCAATACTTTGAAAGAAAAGTTAATTTTTGTACCGATTATAGCTATACCAGACTGGAAGTCACCATTTGAGTTGATGTACGACACTAGTGATTACGCAGTAGGAACGGCACTGGGTCAAAGAAGGAATGAAATTCTTCATCTCATCTACTACCCGAGTAAGACTTTGACAAAGGCACAACTAAATTATGAAACTACAGAAAATGAGTTGTTACCTATTGTGTTTACTTTTGATATGTTTAGATCATATCTCATAGGACAAAAGGTATTTTGTCTACACAAATCATGCAGCCATGGAATATCTGATGTTGAAAAAGGATGTGAAGCCTAGGTTGATTTGATGGACACTTCTCCTTCAAGAGTTTGATATGGAGATCTGAGATAAAAAGGGGTGTGAAAATGTAGTAGCAGACGACATTTCAAAGCTTGAACGGGTTGAACAAAAATATGAAGTTGATATAAAGGATTCATCCCCAGATGAATATATATTTGCAGTTGGCAGTAGGCCATTGTATGCAGACATAGTAAATTACTTTGTGTGTAATGTGCTTTTCCCTGAATTCATGCATCAACAAATGAAGAAGTTCTTCTCGGAGTTGAAATACTATCCTTGGGTATCTCATATATTATAGAAGGGATACTGATCAGATCATTCGAAGATGTGTGCCAAATGAGGAAATCTCTCAGATTCTGGAGCATTGTCACTCTTCGGCTTACGTGGGGCATTTGGGTCTTCTAAGACAGTCACGAAGGTTCTAGAATCAAGATTTTACTGGCCATTGCTATTTAAGGATGCTCATAAATATGTGAAATGGTGTGATAATGCCAACGTACAGGAACGATCTTAAAAAATAATGAGATGTCTTTGAATTCGATTTTAGAAGAGGAGTTCTTCGACATTTGGGGGATCAACTCTATGGGACCATTTCCATCCTCCTATGGCAATCAATATGTGTTGGTTGCAATTGATTATGTTTTGAAATGGGTAGATGTCGTAGCAACACCGACTAATGATGCTCTAGTGGTTATTAACTTTCTAAAGAAGAACATATTCTTGTGCTTTGGGGCAGCGCTTTGGTGCCCCTAGAGCAATCATTAGTGATGGAGATAAACACTTTTACAATAGGTTTTTGGAGTCAGTGTTAGTAAAATATGGGGTGAAGAATCAGGTTGCTACCGTATCACCGCCAAACAAGTGGCCAGTTAGAAGTGTCAAACAAGGAGCTGAGAAGAATACTTGAGATGACAGTGAATAGCTCAAGAACTTATTAGTCTCGAAAGCTTGACGATACACTGTGGGTATATAGGACTACTTACAAAACAACAATAAGCATATCACTATATTGCCTTATGTTTAGAAAAATTTGTCACCTTTCGATGGAATTGGAGCATCAAGCATATTGGGCAATAAAACAGTCGAACATGGACATGACAGCAGCCAGGGAAAAATGATGTTGCAGTTGAACGAGTTGGATAAATTTCGGATGGATGCCTATGAGAATGCGAAACTATATAAGGAGAGGGCAAAGAAGTTGCATGATAAATACACCTAAAGGCATGAGTTCACTACAGGTCAAAAAATATTGTTGTTCAATTCTATGTTGAAACTTTTTCCCAGGGGAAATGCGTTCTAGATGGTTTGGACCATTAACAGTTGTTCAAGTCTTCCACATAGGACAATTGAGGTGACTCACAAAATAAAAGGAATCTTCAAAATAAATGGGCAATGGTTGAAAACATATTGGAGCTGTGATATTGATAAAGAGAAGTCGCTCACCCAATTCTACAACCTAAATTGATCGATCTACTAGTCTAGCTAAAGACTATAAATTAAGCGTTAATTAGGGAGCAACCCAACCCTCTAACTCTTTTGTTTGTTTTAATTTTTCCACCACATTATATATAGATTTATTTTGATTGTTAGTTTGTACTAGACATAGGGGTATCACCATCCTACCATGTTTCCTCTTTAGCCTTTGAATTTATGGTTGGTTACTTCAATGTTTGGGTTAAGTAACACATGTTTCGGGTTATTTAATCTTTAATTTAACTTGACCGTTATGTGCAAAAACATGACATCATCGAACACTCAAATTTATATAGACGATGGGAAGAGCAGGATGAAAGAGATTTTCTAACTGTCACCCATAATGCCTCACACATTCCACAAAAAATTCAGGAAGTATCTTCTTTCTTTTCCTCCCCGTCCCCTTATATGCTTACTTTTGCTTTAAGTTTGGGGTGGGAAAGATTTTGAGTTTTTGGTTTTTTGTATGTTTTTGTATTTATTTTGTGTGTTTGTTTTAGTGCTTGTTTGGTAGAGATTTTGATAATTAATTTTTTGACCATTAGAGATAAAGTGGGTCCTACCTGTGAAATAAGAATTCAAAAATGACGGCTGAAATAGTGAAATAACGGTCAAAAATTGATTTTAATAGCTATACCAAACAAGCTCTTAGTATTAAAAAAAAAATCTTTTATTAGGATGTGTACTTCTATAGGTTAGATAGTTTGGCTAACAACGATGATTTAATTTGAGATTTGGTTTTGATTTATGAATTATGGATAGGAAGCCTGCTAGACTGATTGAAGTTTAATCTTGCAAAACTTGATATTATACGTGTTCTAGGATTGAGTTTGAATTGTGATAAAATGAGTTGATTCATGCACTTGATAGGTTGATTTAGTTGGACATAGATGCTTTACCCAAACCTTACTAATTATTTATCCTCAAATCAAAGTTATCACAAGTTTGGGGTAATCTTATTGTTGTAGGAAGATAGGGATATGAATGTGGATTCCTCGTCTAAAAAAAGAGTTGTGTGGATTGTCTTAGACTAACGGGATGGAATTTGGCGAGAGTTTTGAGTTGAAGGTTAATTTGCTTAAATAGGTATGTCATAAAGGCATATAATTTTCAAAAACTTCTCTTCGAAGTCTTTATGACTCGAGTAATTAAGCCTGTAAGGGTATCTTAAAATCCGATGCCCTATAATCATCTGATTTGAGGGTCATCGACCTAAAGCTCGCTACAAGGGTCATTAAGAAAGCAATTATAGAGGAGATTGCCCAAAAAATTTGTTCTCTTCGAAGGTTTTTTCAACTTGGATTATTGAACCTGTAAGAGTCTTTGAATGCCCTAAAATCATCTGATTTGTGAGTTATCGACCTAAAGCTTATTACATAGATCATTTAGAAAGTTTAAGGGAGAGAATTCTTGAAAAAAATTACATTTGAAAATCAGAAAAAGTAAGAGTACGTAAAAAGTAAAAGCACTCAATGCCTTGATTAAGCCCTAACACTTGTTTGAGAGAAGTTGACTTTTGATAAAGGATTATTAACGTAGTTTGAGTCTTGATGATTGATAAAGGATTATTGGAGAATCCTTGTTCATTGATTTATTGACTTGCAACTAGTGATGTCCTCCTGAACTAGAGAGTGTGAGGATAGTAATGAAAAATTCAATTTTAGATGTCACGCTGGGAAAAGAATGAAGAAGAAGTTTGGGATGTGTGAATCTTACGAGTGAGAAAATGACATATTTGGCCACTAAGGGTCGTGAATTGGAACAACTTGTGAATTCATTAATGTCTACTTAATTTTTCACACACATGTCAATTTTGCATTGAAAGGGTGAATATTAATTAGATGTTGTAACTTTGAAGCATGCTTGTGAGACTAACATTGAAATCTTGAATATACCTTTTCTAACCAAATATTTTTGCACGCTTGTGTGCTTTTTGTTATTTAGATTTTAATTTTATTTGAAGACAAACAAATGTTTAAATTTGGGGGTGTTTGATAAATGTATTTTATATACTTATTCGGTACCTAAAATAGCAATATTTGATAGTTATTTTGACAAACGATATCCTAATTTGTTGTATTTTATATTTAATAGGCGAAACTCTACACACACACACATATATATATATATATATATATATAGACACACACACATGGAAAACAACGAAGAAGATAAAGACGACGGATTTGCTTTGAAAAAAAAATAATAATAAATCACATTTTGTCAAATTTTGTTGATGTCTTTTTACTTTTTCGTGTTTAATCGAACTTCGCGATGAAGCTCGTGTGTCACCTAATTTATACTCTTTGTTGGGAAAATATTTTACCAAGTAATCAAATTATGGTTCTTGTGTTGAGCAAGAGGTGAGGAGTTGAAGAAGATGACAAATTTCTATAATATTTTATTTATTATTGTTTATCGATTATATCATTTGAACAAGAATCTCTTTTTAATTGAAAGTTTATTACTCCCTCTTTCCCAACGTCATATAAAGATAGACTTATTTTCATTTTCACACAAATTAAGAAAATGCAATTAACATAGTTAAAAATATAAAGTCTATTTACATGTTTCCAAATACACTTTTAGATTAAATAATGGTTTAAATAAGTGTTGATAATAAGAAAGGCATATTAAAAAAAAATCAATTGAGCTCTCAATAAAGAAAATGATCTATTATTTGGCACAGACGAAATAAGAAAGTAAGTCTATCTTTATAGGATAGAGAGAACATTCGTGAATATAAAGACATCGAAAACGTAAGAATATCATAAGAAATAGCTACGCCCCACCCCTCAATCCATAGTAGCTTATTTTTTTCTTTCCAAGAATGAAGATCCAGCTTCCCTTCAACGTCATTGCTTTCATGATCTTCTTGTATTTCATCTTCTTGTTATTCAAAGGGTGGAAAATATCCACAGCCCTAAAGAAACATCAAAGATTACCTCCCACACCATGGAAGTTACCTTTGATCGGAAACCTGCACCACCTCGTTGGTGCACTACCACACCGATCTCTTGAGAAATTAGCCGAAAAATATGGACCAATCGTGCATCTAAAACTCGGTGAAGTTTCTGCCATTGTGGTGTCGTCAGCCGAGCTTGCTAAAGAAGTACTAAAAGTTCAAGATCCTGCTTGTGCTGATAGGCCACAAACGATAGTAAGTAAAATCATGTTGTATGATTCTACCGATATGGGGTTTAGTCCGTATAATGAATACTGGAGACAAATGCGTAAGATATGTGTCTTGGAGCTCCTAAGTGCCAAAAATGTCCGGTCATTCAACTCCATAAGGCAAGACGAGGCTTCACGTCTCATCAAATCTATTCAATCATCTCGTGGAGAACCCATCAATCTTACCGAAAAAATATTCTCATTTACAAGTTCGATCACTTGCAGAGCAGCATTTGGAAAAGTGATTAGGGATAGAGATATATTGCTGTCATTGTTGAAGAAAGCAGTGCCCTTGACAGGAGGTTTTGGATTAGTGGATTTGTTCCCGTCTTTCAAGCTGCTACATGTTATTAGTTGGAACAAACATAAATTGTTGGCCATGCGCCGTAAGCTTGATGTGATCCTTGACGCTATTGTTGACGAACATAGAGCTAATCTAGCTAAAACACACAATGGGAATGGAGAGTTTGGGGGTGAAGACATAGTAGATGTTCTACTCAGAATCAAGGAAAGTGGAGATCAAGACATTGCAATAACTATCGACAACATTAAAGCTATCATTTTTGTAAGTAATTTCATTTGGAATAATAACGTTACTTTTATTCTACAAGAAGAAACTAGGCCTTATTCTCGTTAACTATCAACTCGTGATAAAGTTTTATGTGTCAACTTGGTGCTACTATTTTTCTCTTATCCGATCCAAGCTTTGGACCGCCTATGAAAAAACAAAATTTAGGCAAAGTTAACCACTGGATTTTTGTGCTACGATTTGCAGGACATGTTCTCAGCTGGAACCGAGACTTCATCCACAACAATCGATTGGGCTATGGCAGAACTAATGAGAAATCCATGTGTGATGGCAAAGGCTCAAACTGAAATAAGAGAGGTTCTTAAGGGAAAAAAGACACTTGATGACAATGATATTCAAACCCTAAAATATCTCAAATTTGTTATCAAAGAAACTCTAAGGCTGCACGCACCCATTCCTTTACTCCCAAGAGCCTGTAGAAAAGAATGTGAAGTTGCTGGTTATACTATACCTCTCAAAGCAAAAGTCAGCGTAAATGTTTGGGCTATAGGAAGAGATCCCGAGTATTGGCATGAGCCCGAAAGCTTTACACCCGAAAGATTTGAGAGAAACTCCATTGAATTTACGGGTAATGACTTCGAATTCATTCCATTTGGGGCTGGAAGAAGGATTTGTCCCGGTATAAACTATGGCTTGGCAAATGTCGAGCTTTGTTTAGCGCAACTTCTTTACCACTTCGACTGGAAACTCCCTAACGGGATGAACCCTAATGATATGGACATGGCCGAGACCAAAGGATTAGCTGTATCAAGAAAAAATAGCCTTTTATTAATTCCCACATCCCATAATCCTTCCATTGACAGCTGATTAATCCCAGTTCCTGTTCTAGATGAGCATCACAACTTGAAGATCCATTCGACAGGTTAATTAATTTCCTTTCCTTGTAAACTACTAATTAGACCAAGTCTTTGTCATGTTCAATAAAAAACAGTTGTATTTGTCCTATGTTTCACTTGAAGACAGATTTGAGGTCTCTTTTCTTTAAACTATTGATATCATGTTTCTGTCTGATCATATAATGTTTAATGAAGCATAAACCATGAAAAATATAATCAAAATCTATATCCTCTTTTTCTTCATCTTATGTCTACATAATTAAATTTTTTTATTGAATAATGTTATTTGTAGTTGACAACTACAGTAGTCGTCCTACGTGACATCATATATAGTAGCTTGTTATTGGAAACATTATTTTTTTGTAATATTGTTGTCTCAAATAATAAGCTAATGGCTCGATAACAAATTGACATATAGAATGACTACTACAGTCATTGATCACGCATTTTTTGGTTTTAAAATGAGTTGTAATTATCCATATCTCTTATGGATAATTAGGACAAGCTATTCAATTTGGACCTTTATAAAGGAAAATACCATTTTTTTTCAATGTTATTCATAGTCGACGATTATAATAGTGATTCTATGTGACAACTAGTTATCTGAGACATTAATTTTTGTAATTCTGCTACCTCAAATAGCAAATATGTCAAATAACAAGCTGCACATAGATTGACAAGTGTAATCATTGAGTATGATAGTATTGCTCGTTTTTAAACATACTGCAATAACACAGATTAAATGGAACCTTATTCTAGCTCACAAGCCCAATCAATATCTAATCCCTTCAGACTCCTACCTTCAAATCACCATAATCTCTCCTCCATCACCATGAGAATAGAGATAAAAATCGCACCACTAGAGAAGGCCATCACAGGGTGTTTTTGTGCTTCCATACAACATCTCCGCTCCTTTTATGAGGACATCGACCATGATATGAAGATAACAAGATGGTTCTACTTTCACTCGTGGCCAGAAAGAGGTGGAGACGACAACGCTTCTTGCCAACACTGCCTCTCCCCCCAAGTCTTTGAAGATATATTATTTGATGTTATCCAATTATAAGATTAATATTAATATTTTAAGATTTGTGATTTTGATTTATTGCTTTCTATATGTCAATTTGGCTCGTTGATTCGAGCAACCCATGACTTCAATTGGGAAAAACTCAAGCCAGCCTAATTCGTAGCTTAGAGAAATTGAGCCGAGGCTCGGATAGAACCTTATTTTGGGACGTTAGCCCAAGCCCGAGCTGGCCCTTGTGGCTCGTCAAGCCAGATGGGCCAGCCCATATTATTTCAAACAAGAAAAAAATAAAAATAGAAGAAGAAGAAGAAGCCAAATGGCAGCTAAAGCTACCTGTTTAAAAAATCAATTCTGCTACACGCATAAGGTAGAAAATAGGGTAAAGTCCAGGCCGACGTTGCACTTTAAAAAGCATTAAAAATAAATAAAAGGAAAGAAAACATAAACTAAAGCCAAAGAAAAACGCAGTCTTTCTCCCCCAAATCTCTCAAAGAAAAATGCACCCTCGCCCCCCAGGCATAACCCAGTGGTGCAAATGACAGGAGTGAGATTATCTCACACCTTGTTGGCAGTCGCAATGTGGGGGTTCGATTCTTGAGACGTAGAATTGGACTCTTTATAGGTGTAGTGTACAGATAGCTCTTGTTCCCTGACCTGCTGGGGCACATCCCGCGATTTACCTCCCTCAAAAAATTCTAGGGTGGGGCGGTGGGGTTCAACCTTTTTTTTTTTTTGAAAAACGCAGCCTCTCTCCCAAATCTCTCTACACTCACGACTTAACATTTCTCCCAACATCGAAATTCAGAGTCGGTACTCTGTTGGCACCTCACCATCTCCAGAAACACTGCAATCGAAGGTGATCGTCATCGATCGGGCAGCAATTCCTTTGACTTTTTCAGCACTAGACGGATCACATTCTCCGGCCGCACTTCAACAAAAGGTTTTGCCTTCGCTTTGGCCGAGCCATGGTTTCACCGCCTCTCACTTCACCTCCGGCTGCATCGTTGTAGTCATAGTTTCATATAGACAAAAAGAAACAGTGGTGTTGTGTAATCTCTCGCTTTTTTTTTCTCTTACTCTAAGGCCTAAATGTTTTCCATTATTTTTCTTTTTTCAAGCTATATGTACTTTTTCTGTAATTTATGGAAACCCTGTGTTAAACCTCAATTTTTCAGTCGAACTTTGGCTTAACTCAGCTCGGACCAAGGTTCCCACCAGAAATCGAACTCTCCACCCTGCCGCTGGAAGCAAGACAATGTTGATTGATCCACCAGTTGAGCTGTGCCCCGGGGGGCATTGGAATTATTATTCTAACTGTAGTGTGTAAAGGCGTGAGAAGGCTGTGATTTTGCAGTGATATAATTAATAAAAATTGGATCTTTTGTGTGTTTTACCAAGTAAATGAATGGATGGAAGGGAAAGGATGACAATCATCCTGTTGTTCGAATTATAAACACCAAAAAATTTCCAACAATCATTTTTAATTACTAGAAAGATCTCTCGATTCCCTTGCTTTTATCTCCCGTCGTCTATGGATACAAGCTTGTGAATGTATAGTGTTAATCGTCTGGGTCTATATGTTTTGGTTTGTTTGTTGCGAGAAAACTTGTGCTTGTATGTTTTGGTTTGTTGCCTATATTCTTGATTCATGTTTTATGCTTTATGATGTCTTCATTGATATCAATATCATCACCATTCAACTCCAATAATCCAAATTTTCTATGGACATCAATCGCGTAGAGGGACCAGTAAGAACTGATCCATGAGTACAATGGTGTGCGTGTGCAATCAATTCACCGGAATGAAGAGTAGTTACTAGCAGTTAGTGAAGACCTGTAAAGCTAATGTACAAAAAACTGAAATTAAACTATTTTTATTGCTCCTATTGTTGAACAAAATCCTAAAAATTTCATCATTACTATCTCTCCCCTCTTCCCCTTTATAATTACAATTTCACCATCACATTCTCCCCTTTCCTGTTTATAATTACAGCAGGAGAAAGAAGTTTTCATTACAGGAGAAAATGGCTACTGGCCGAAATCCTTACCGGAGAACCGGGCAATTGATTTCTGAGCACCGCCGCCGTCTCCGATGGCAACTTGTCTCCAGTCATCTCTCACAAAGGACAAAGTTGTAACGGGTTTCCTTGAACATTCACCTGAAGTCCAGGCTGATATTTTATTGCCAAATGTGATTATGAAGATGTTGGATGACGGTCGTGAAGATGAAGATTTGAGAAAATGGGAGTTTTGATATGTTTATTTTCGTTCAGCCAAAAGAAAATTGTAGATGGTAGAATAATTGTTGTTTATGACTTTTCAAATCCCTGTACTCAAGCCTGGATTTCAGTTGGGTCAAGTAGCTTTGTTTGTTAACAAAGAGGCAACCACTAGAAACAAAGCAGCTATGTGGCTGCATGTTTGCTGATGCATGCAACAAAGAGCTAAGTATATTTTTTGTTTCAAAACATTTGTATGTTTGTTTCAAAAAAAAATTGTTTTTATTTCAAAAAATATTTTCAATCTATTACGTAATTTTTAAATTTATTTGTTTCAAAAAAAATGGCATAAGAAATATTTTATTCATATATAATTTTAACTTTGTCTTCGTTGATTGTAGTTGATTCCAAACCCCAAAAAAGGAGGGGAATTGTAATGTTTATTTAATTTACAATTTGTACAAATTACACATATTTTAAATTGTTTAAAAAGAATTTAGAATGTCACAAATGCCCAAGTCGAAAGCCTAAACCAAACCTCAATTTTTCAGCCGAACTTTGGCTTAACTCAGCTCGGATAAAAAAAAAGTCCAAGTCATTTTTACCGGAATCTCGAGTTTCGGCCCACGAGTTGACTCGACTCGTTTAATCCTTACGACAAATATTTAAGTATTGTTATAAAGTTGTAATTGATGGCGATTCTCTCTCTCTCTCTCTATGAAAAGACCAATGAGTATATATTTTAATTTATTACTTTGAGGTAATTCAGATGCATTTGTAAATGAATTTGCATTTGATCGTGACTTCTAATTATGGCTTGATGGTAAGTTGAGGGCGTTTTAATATTAAAACTGTGTTTGGAATTGACAAATTTTAATCATATATTTAATGAGGTTCACAACTTTCAAATATACATTTCAAAAATATTTATTAAAATCTACTAAAAATCTTATTTTAGCAAAACCAAATGGACGCTAAAGAAGATAATCGCTTACTACAGATTTAAAAACAACTCCATTGATTTTCTTGGAATGACTTTGAATTTATTCCATTTGGGAAAGAAAATAGGAATTGTCCCTGTATAATCTATGGCCTGGCAAATTTTGAGCTCCCTTTAGCCCAACTTGTTTACTAACCCTAACGATCAACAAGTCAAGTTTAGCCGAGGCTCAGGTAAAAATTACTCAGGGTTTTTTTGGCCCAAGCCAAGCCAAACTCGACCGGAAAATTGAAGCTTAGTTCAAATGGCTTTCATCTTTAACCGAGCCCTTGCTATTTTTTCTTAATTCATGACATTCTAAATTTTTTTTTAAACAATTTAAAATATGTGCAATTTATACAAATTTTAAATTAAATAAAAATTACAATCCTCCTCCTTTCAAGGGGCTTGAGACCGACTACAATCAATATAAACGAACTTAAAATTATACATGAATAAAATATTTCGTGTCTTTTTTTGAAAAAATAAATGAATTTAAAATTACATAATAGATTGAAAATAATTTTTTAAAACACGACAATTTTTTTAAAATAAACAAATAAATGTTTTGAAACAAAAATAGACTTAGCTACTTATTTTAGCGGTAGTCGTAACGGTCTCGTTTTTGTAACTG